CGCGCACACCAAGCCAATGTTTGGGTCAGCAACAAACCATTGCTGCCACGCCTCACGTGCCGAGTGAGCAGTTGGGATTGACTTTTGTGCAACATACATGTCCATTGGCCGTTGTGTTCTCACTTTCGTAGGTGCATGTCTGCCCACAGTGTGCTCTTGCAAGGCCTTTGCCAACGCCTGCCCAACAGCATCCACGGTGAACGGCAAGCCAACAGCCCCAAGCTCTGGCCACTGCGTCGAATGCTGAAACTTGGGGGTACGAAACAGGTTACGAGGATCGATGTCATTGCTAATGCTCTGAGTCACGAGGTACTCACAACAGGTCTTTGCGTCCGTCCAACGACACCACGCCATGAGCTCACGGAAATTGAAGCGGCGCTCCCTTGATTCGAACACACGGTAAAACGACCCCCCCACGGCGAAGGCTATGCAGTGATATTCCAATGGGTAGGTCGGGCGTTGCATCCACCAGGTCACCCAACCACTTGCGCAAATTGGCTTGCTCCAGGCCACGGTACCACTCAACCCTTGGCACCCCATTGTGCTGCATTACAACATTTGGAAACACAAAGGCGGTGCTTGTCAAGTTCACACAGTAAGCCCGCAGCTTGGCAGTATAGTCGTCGTGGAAGCCACACACGAGAAGGCATGGGAATGAAGTTTCGTCAACAAGGTGATACACTTGACAGTCTTCCTCGACACCGGCCTTCTTGTGCCACCGCAGTCGTACCGATAGGTACCTTCCGATTTGATCCGACACGATTTGCACATCATTCCACCGTAGGGCAAGTACTTCACTCATGCGGAAGCAACCGAGAAAGCTCACAGCCAAGAGAAATCGCAGCATCGAGCCCAAGAACGGGTGCAGATTGGCCAATGCGTTGACAAGTGTTGAGAGCTCCTGCACGGTGAGCGGGTGCGCCTTCTTTTCCTCGTCCACATTGTTCTGCTTGTTGTACTTCTGAAGGCCAACGATGTAGTGGCGCGCAGTTGTGTCCTGTGCTGGGTTCGGCGCCACTCGTCTGGCGTTGAAGTAGGCAACAAGGGCTGACTTGGCCAAGTCGATGGTCCTCGCCTTCTTGCCCTGGCTGTACAGGTAGTGAAAGAAGTCTGTACACTCCTCAGTCCCAGACGTGGTAGGGTCAATGCCGCCTTTCTGTGTTTGCAGAAACATCTCGAATTGTTTTTGATACGTGGTGTAGGCGCGTCGAGTAGATGCACCGTGAAAAGACTCCTGGGTTGTCTTCTTCGATGGGACCGTCGGCTGCCGGGTTGGAGTCATGTTGTTAATGGTCGATACGAAACCTCTGTCTTTTGGATTATAGCCAATTATATCTTGTTATTGCATTATGTCGATGATATGTGTCTAGACGACAGACACATCGACCAATAGGATACGTTAGAGGACGTTTCTTCCAATTATAGATCATTCTCTTGTCGGTCATCCAATACATTCGCTAGAAAATGTCGGTTCGATGTCGGATGCCACCTACATGTAGCTATACCCCGTCGGCAGGCCGGTACTATAAGAGCAACTCCACTCGTGGGATTTATTGGAATATATTTATACGGATAAGGTACGGATACCGGCGAGCCATATTCAATTTCCCCACTTCATCAGATTTATCCCCGATTCACACACACAGGCCGCCGCATTCTGACTACATGTACAGTGTTTGCCAGTAAACGTCGACGAAAGTAGCACACGTCAATAAAATATATTCGTAACGAATAGATCCAATTGGATAAAATTGACTGCACAGTCTATTCTCAATCAATGATTAAGCTCAGTTGTGATTGGACTCAATTTGAAATGTGAAACTTCATACTTCCATGTCAAAATGGCATTCTACGAAAGGCAGCGCCAACCACCATGCAGCAGCGACGTTACACGAACGCTGAGCGCAAGGCGCTTCTGCAGGAGTTTCATGCATCCGTCCTAAACGACAACCAGTTTAGCAAAGAGCACGCCATCCCTCGAGCAAGGCGGAAAGGATGGTGAGCAAAAGAAGCGAAAATCCTGGCCAGCCGCCGCCATGACCGCTTGGAAACCATGGGGGGCCAGGGGCCGAAGTCATTGTTCCCTTTCAAGGACGACCTCCTAGAATACTTGCGCGGCCGACGCGCCAAGAAGAAGTACCTCCGGGTGTTCCACCTCATCCTGTGGATCAAACGGAACCACTGACATGGCTCCATCAGTACATCGAGGCCAAGAAGAGCTACGAGTCATTCGGACACCTTCTTCGTCACGTTTGCAAGCGCCATCGATTCTCCCACCGCATTCCATGCGCCAACAAGGTGCACCGGTTTGTGCTCGACAATGTGTAGACCGGGTATGCAGTCAACTTCTGGTCCAAGTACGAGGTCTACGACAAATCACTCATCTACAATGCGGACTAAACAGGTTCGTACAACCTCAATCATTTCAACATTGACAGCTAATGAAATCAGACTCTACTTTGATATGTCTCCAGGAAATACGTTGGCCGAAGTTGGCAAATCGTCCAAGGTTGACAATAAGACCGAGCACTCCGAGCGTATTTCGGTAGTATTGACAAGACGGCATCATGCTCCTGATGCTGTTCATCATCAAAGGGCAGTCAGGTGGACCATTGGAGAAGAAGGAGCTGCCGACTTACGACCCCGCTAATGTCTATGCTGTGCAGGCGAACACTTGGATGGATGACCCCGTGTGGGACATCTACCCGGGGCTCACTCAAGACACACAACGTGTTTTACCAATGCGCTATCGCGTCGAACGCTTACGCTTGCCCTTAAACCATTGTATCAATCCGATCTTTGTTATCGTCGTTTAATTGATGTATTTTAGGCCAATCAGATTATTCGACCTCGTTGTGACATTGTCTTTATATTTTTGAGTAGTCCACGTCGAGTAGTACCACTCTACATACAAACTCCCCTATTGATGGTAGTGCTACTTTCGTCGACTTTACTGGCAAACACTGTAGTTGCTACGAGTGCGGCAAGAAATAAATCCCACATGACGACTATCACATCACATTCAATCGAACGTTACATTAGAAATATATCATGTCGATGCGCATGCCGCAGTTCAACGCCGCAAATTATCTCTCTCGTCTAAAAAGAGGGCACACCCTTTTGAGCTTATCGATTCTTATCGCATGCGAATTCTCGTACGATGAGCCAAGTGTGACGTGAGCTCTGAGAAAACAAACAAGTGCTCTGACCGTATGACGAAGTTGCTCTGTCATTCGTTCACCCTGCTGATACCGCCATCACGCTCTCAGAATCGGGGCGACTTGGTTGTCGATGCAATGTCGAGGGCTCTGGCGGCTGTGGCGGCGGCGTCAGCAGGGTGGATACATTGGACATTTGACGTGGGACTGTGACAGTTGGTGGCGTTCAGAGGTCCAATTAAGTATCGACAGGGGTTATCGTATATGCGCACAGTTCACTGACGCCGCTGTCCCCTCTTGTGGTCGTTGCTCCGCCGCGTGGACATTGCGCTTGGAGTTAAATAAAGTAATAATGATCGAAGGCCCTTCGAACTTCTCACAAGATCGAATCGCCGCTTGCAACGCTGTTCCACAGCAAATCGAGTTCTCTACACCACAACTCGCCCTGAGGGCCAGGTCGAAGTAGATTGACCAAATTTTTTGATCGTGCAATACCGTTGGGGACATGAATGATACTCCAAACGGTTTACTATTAGTACACCATTTTGTGGTTAATTTCGAAAAATATCTGGTATATTTCGTGGAATCCCATTTAAGTTCGTGGAGCTTCATTATATTTCGCGACTTCAGAATTTAATTTCGTGGGAATGTCGAATTCACTCATTATTTTCGTGGACTACCAGAGACTACCAGTATATTTCGTGATTTGCTCAGTTACATTGGCAAACATCCAATATATTTCGTGACGAGACCAATATATTTCGCATAAATGTTAACGCAATGGATGCATTTATGCAGGAGTGACAACTGTAAGCTCCAAGCAATTCGTCGCCGATGTTTTCGGCTCTGTGGTCGAGGTGGATAGTGTATTGATACAAGCGGTTCACATTATCTCCTACGACAACTATGCTATACTAGGTGGTATCACGAACATACCTCGCAATATGCTTCAGATATTGCATTCGGAATTTCTCGCGCATTCATTGTAGCTCCACCAGGAAGTGGTCCAATGAATGCAGTGAGTGACTCACTAAGCAACGTCTTCACACGGAGTTTCATTGCTCACTACAGGTTATCGATTAGATTCTCCATGGACGAGTATGGACGACAAAAACGTCCCGATGTCAGCAAAGCGACTACCGGTATTGCTTTGCAGACATCGGGACGTTTCTGTACGTGCCTGCTTGCCTCGTCGACGTGGCTGATATTCCTTAGTTACTAGGTCATTATGTATTTGCTTACTTGGGCTCGAGGTGATGGAGGTTCGTCGCCATCGGGGATGGCAAGGAGAAGGTCGAGATCCACGAGGATGTGCCGCATTGAGAAGGCTTGAAGTGCGCGAATGACGGCTTCGCACACTATTTTCTGACCAATCAGAACGAGTTCACATGAACATTCGAAATATATTGGTCTCGTCACGAAATATACTGGATGTTTGCAAGCAAATCACGAAATATACTGGTAGTCCACGAAATATAATGCGTGAATTCGAATTCCCACGAAATTAACAATAAATGCCGAAGTCGCGAAATATAATGAAGCTCCACGAATTTAAATGGGATTCCTCGAAATATACCACATATTATTCGAAATTAACCGCAAAATGGTGTACTGGTGTACTACCGTATTCCCCTCCTACCAGTACCCATCATTTCTCCTGGTCTAGTAGTACCCAATTTCAAAGCTGAACATATTGTAGAACGTTTTATAGAATCCCCACGAGGCTGTACACGTCTAAGATTTGATTGGTTGGTTTATAGCACCAGTAAAATCACCTCAAGAGTGTTTGTGTGCGCGTCGACCCATGGAGCTGAAGGCTGTCGGCATCGTGGGTGTGTCAAGTGGTGAAGGAACCCGCTCATGTACCTGCCATGACTTTTGTGGGGATAGCCTTACAGTCGACGACCTGGTTGTTTGCCGCCTTGTTGCCAGCGAGCAAGCATGTCACGTCGGCTTCCTCCCTTTGCGCTTACAAAACGAAACGAACGAATCACAGATATTTACTGACATTTCAGGGGGTACTGGTAGTAGTATTGTCATTTTACCCAAAATTTGGACTTTTATGCTGATTCGCCAAACCTATCGATTGATTCTTTGAACTGGCATTTTGTATGTAACCATTGTCCAGTTTCACACTAATTTCATTCGCACACTAACGTAAGCAATCAATTTAAGACACGTTACTCAATTTAAGATCTAACTATGTTCATAATATATATGAAGAACAATTGGAATGACACTATAAGTGAATACCTTAAACACAAAATGTGTAAGTAAATTATCATACTTTGATCAAGATAACACATGTGTCTTAAATTAATTCTCAAAATGCGCTTTGTCTTTCTCATGCAACAGACTGCAAAACACAATATAATCCGTATAGTACAGTACTGTATACTTGTACTACGTAATTGGTACAAATCATCTACAGTATTAGCCCCCCTAGCACCTTAGAGCATCCCCACCGGCTGATGTAAACATAGAGCTGAAAAGACCCGTTTATTGGGTGCGTGCTGTAACAGTAGTACATCACTTCACAGCCAATCCACACCGGTTGGCGGAAATAGTAGTCCTGATGGCGCAAATTCGTGTTGGACGCCCGCTGGCGATTGAGGTTTTGGAGCTCTCG